AAGGGATTATTCAAAACATGGACGCATAAATTTTTTGTGGGACAACAAAAAAATGAGAAAACGTATTTTTTGGGATTCAATCGAAAGTGTGGGCAGGAACGAAACAACTCTTCAGATAAGATTTTTAGGCATTTATGAGACCTACAAAATGAGACTACGCGTAAAAAGATCCGACTAAAAGTTATGGCCGAAAACTGCAGGTTTTTTTCACTTGCCGGTGGTTTCTCGCAGATATTTGAAATTCTTCAAATTCATAGGGCTCGTACTTCTAAATAACTACAACAAAATTGTAGTAGATTGGTCATGTAGTTTTTGAGAATTGTTTATCCCAAAACACCTGATTTCCGGTCATCACTACTAGTTTGTTGAGCAAAATACGAGGGGTGAACCGCTGAGGCATTACGGTGTACAAATTTTGGGAATTACTGGGCATTATATGAGAATTAGTTGGCATTAGTAGGCATTACTAGGAATTAGTGGGCATTACTAGGAATCCGTGGGCATTACGGGGCATTGACAAGGAATTAGTGGGCATTAATAGGAATTTTAGGGAATTAGTAGGCATTACTATGCTATTTTTAGCAATACCATATTGTGATGTGCCTCCACTGGCGCTCCCAGGGGGGGGGGGGGGTAAAGGGGGTAATTACCCCCCCAGACGACTCAATCCTTGTATAGGTTGTATAAAGTAAACGTGTAAACGTCTTATAAAACAATCTGTAACTCTAAGAAAGGATAGCGGCAACACTGCAAACCCGCTTAGTGCGCATGCGACTAGCGAATACTCTCCCACCACTCTCCCACCAACAGAACAGCAACGGTGTGCGCTTCTTCCTGTTGGAGGATGTATTTTTTGTTGTTTTGTCTGACATTGTTATGCAGAAAAGTCTGAGAAAGATTATATTATTTTGCATTTTTCTTTTAATATATGAAGATTGCTCGAGCTCGGTTCGTTTTATTTAACTTCAATTTCGTATGGTTTAAAATTTATAAAAAATTATGTATTTTCTACAGAAATTACTGTAACAAATTCATATGTTTGCATATTTCCATGCTTTTACTGTTAAATCATTATAACACTTCAGTACGCCACACTGAGAATTTACTTTCCATTTTACCCCCCCCCCAGACTAAAATCCTGGGAGCGCCACTGTGTGCCGCTTAACAGCGGCAACAGTGCTGAATTGATCGCTTTCCGTAGCGCTGCTTCTCATGCAACAGGATTGCGTGAGCATTTTTAGGTTAGGTGTAAGAAAATACCGCATAACCGTCGTAAGCAAAGTGTGCAAAATCTGTGAAGTATTTTTTTACGAATTGCATTTGTTTTGTCAGTTAAAATCTCGGTTAAAATATTCTCTGTGCGCTCTGTATCGAGTTCAAGATAATTACTTATTGTGATCGAGGTAAGTGTATGTGTTACAGAAGATATTCGATTTCAGGCCATTCTAGTTTGACCTTGGACACACTAAAAGTGCTTATCATTGTTTTCCTAGGACATTCTAAAATTCCCTGATTAGTGTTCGGAAATATCCGGTTTAAATAATTGATTTACTGAAAATATTTGTATTCATAAGTTTCGATGGTCAGTAATAATTATATTGTTGTAGCTTTTCGTAACTGTTTTCGTTTACTTTCTTATATTTAAAATTCATTCTCCTTTTTTTTTAGTAGTTATTTTGAGTGGTACATTATCGTATTACCTGACGAGTTTGACATCACCTGTCAAGTTTAACATATTTTAAGTTATTTTGATAGCAGAGGTAATAAATTGTATCACAAAGTTTGTTTCCTAAATCCATAAAACTAAGAGAAAATTCCGATATGGAATAAACTTTTTGAGACTCACAGTATTGTAAATTTTTTTTTAGATGGAATCTCATATTGACCATCAAGATGGCGCTAGCGATGTTGACATTCATCTCAGAGATCATGAGGGTGATAACGAGGATAACAATTTTTTTAAAGAAGCTGAATCTACATTGAGCGTTAAAATACCACCAACTTTAAAAAATCTATTATCTGCCTGTGGATTTGAAAACGAATCAATATTTGCAACTATTAATGACGATAACATCGCTAATATTGAACAATTTGCTCAAAATGAGTTGCACCAAATTATTGGTAGAGAAGAATATCCAAAATTTTATGGTATTTATTGCAATAAACCGACGTTATTTAAAATACCCATAGGACATAAGAATATGATCACTTTGCTCAAAGATTTTTGCGTAAAAAGGCAAGCTGAAAAAAAGGCAGTTAAAAGAATGATGCGACAGCCAGAGCAAAATAAAACAAAACGCAAAAAATATCGTTATTCCCTAGGTGATTCCTCGAGTAATTCCTTCACATCAACGCAGGAAAAATTCCAAAAAAACATGAGTGGAATACGTTCCTGTGAATCTGATGCTGGTTTCGAAGATCCAAACGAAAATCGAGGCGAAAATCTCTCCGAGGTGAGCTCCGAGGATACCTCCAAATATGGAACAGAAAATAAAATTTTAGAAACAATCCACCAGTGGGCAAAACGCAAGACGGATGAGGAACAGTGGAATCGATTAAAAAGTTTTCTTAGAAATATTTCGGTTCGGTTTATAGCAGATGGACAAAAATGTATTATTTCTTGCTTTTGCGGAGCTACGTACACTATTTCCAAATTCTTCAAAAGAAATTCTAAATGTGAACGATGGATTTATTCCAATTTTCAGACACACCTGTTAAAAAAGCATATTGATGAATTTGCTAATTCCGAGGCTAATTCTGGGGCTAATTTCGAGGGTAATTGCAATAAAAAAAAACCTTACAAAAACCAACTTATTACCTCATTTATATTAAAAAAGCCAAACGTCAGTGTAATGCAAGACCTTAATCTTTCATCGAAACAAATACACTTAACAAATAATGGAAATAAGGATAGTGAAGAGGCTAGTACATCCCGTGATACATCCGCTAATACTTCCTTTGAGAATGTGTTTCATTCGGGGAATACAAAAATTAAGGTATTACAAGATATTAGTTTACCCTTGCAAATCCCCAAAGAAACGCCTTCAATTGCTATTGACAATATGTTACAAAATAATAATAATAATAAAGCTAATTCGTCCTTTGGCAATTTGCAGGAGAATTCAACGGAAAAATTTGAGGAAAACTCATATCAGTCGGTAAATACTTCTTTGATAAATACCAAAGTTAATACCTTGGAAAATATCGAGAATCGGATGATAACTGAGTTTCATGAAAAAGAATCAAATTCTTTATCTGATATTGGTTCTTTTTCTGATATCAACCTTTCTTCCGAGCCTTCATCAAAATGGAAGCAAATAAAATACCATAGAAGTGAACGGGCAAAAAGAGCTAGGGAAGTAATTATTATTGATCCAAAACAAACTCTGATAACCAATTTTTTAAAATTAGCAGATGAAGTTGGCAGTGTTATTAATACTTCTAACTTAAGATATCGTTTAATTTCTAAGTTTTTAAAACCAAAACTAGCGGAGGCGACTCAAGAACTTGCCACAGAGTCCGCAGAAAATATAGGAAATAGCTTTCTCAAGAAACTTCTCGAAATTTCACAGAAAAATATACAAGGACCCAAAAACAAAAATTTCTATGACGTGGCTACAAAAAAATTTGCGATCTACATTTTTTATGCAGGAGGTAGATTATTATATGAAACACTGTACGCAAATTTACCAAAATCACTTCCGTCAATAACGACTCTGAACCGGTACCTCATCAAAAATCGAAATACAATTGAAGAAGGAGCATTTGATTTTGAAGGTCTTCTACAATTTTTAATTAATAGAAATCTACCTAAAATAATTTGGGTAGCTGAGGACGGAACGCGAGTTAATAATAAAATAGAATATAACGAACGAGCAAATAAAGTTGTTGGTTTCGTACTACCACTTAAAAATGGCGTACCCATTATTAACAAGTATATTGCTACATCTGCAAAAAAAATTCAAACTTTTTTTGAAACTAGTGCAAAGTCTAATTATGCGTATGTAATAACAGCACAACCGCTTTCATATGATGCACCAGCATATTGTATATCCGTTTATGGGACCGATAATAAATTTACTGCCCAAGAAGTTCTTCAGCGATGGAAATATATGAAACAGACAGCTAAAAAATATGGTATTACAATAATTGGATTTTCATCCGATGGAGATTCTCGCCTTTTAAAGGCCATGAGAATAAATTCAGGCCTGCCAAAAGCCGACGACAAAACTAACTCTAATGATAGTTTTTCCAATACTGACCCTAGTAATTATTCCGATGTGCAGTTTAATGATGATTATTTAAAATGGAAGTGGTTTCATACTGATGTAACATTGGTAGATGAGTGCCATATTCAAGACAGTGTACATATTATAACGAAACTACGCACCCGATTTTTAAAGCCAGGAATTGTTTTACCTCTTGGTGAGTATTATGCCACTGTAGAACATCTAGAAAAAATAATAGAAACATTTTCTAAAGATCAGCATCTATTAACAAGGTCTGATTTAAGGGCTGAAGATAAAATGAATTACTCATCTGCTGAAAAAATGTGCTCCAATACTGTTCTCGAACATCTCAAAAATGATCCAGAGTTTAAAGGGACGGAAGTGTATCTAAATGTGATGCGCTGTATTATAACAGCATTTTTGGATGAAAATACTGATGTCTCTTCTAGACTATATAGTAGTTGGTATTGCGTATTTTTTCTAAGAATTTGGAGAGCAGACATTATCCGAAAAAAAGACTATAAAATAAAAGATAATTTTCTCACCAGCAATTGCTATCATTGTGTTGAGCTTAATGCTCATAATCTGATAAAACTCATTTTAAAGTTTAAAACGGTTTCTGATTTAGCGCCAGAAATGTTTTGTTTGCCAATATTTAGTAGCCAAGCGTGCGAAAAATTGTTTCGATCTGCTCGCTCAATTACATCAACATTTTCGACTGTTATAAATTTTACCATTAAAGGATTTCTACAACGAATTGAAAGAATTAAAATGGTGAATTCTATTCTTAGTGACCTTTCTGGCCAGTTTATTTTTCCACGAGAAGGAAAAACCTTAAAAAAAAATATTTACTTCCCTACTACTGACGAGTTTCTAAATTTAGATATTGAAGAGATAGTATCAAAATCTTTAAAAGATGCAATTTCCAAAGCCAAAGATTTGGGAATAGAACCAACCGAAAAGGATTGGAACGAAATTCACATTCCATTGCGTTACGATGAATGTTTAAATTTAGAAGAGAGCAGCAGTTTTGGTGATAATACCGACCAAATAGAACAAGAAATCGATGAAGGTTTCTTTTTACAAGATGGAACTGATGATTTAGAGATACATTCTATATCGGAAAACGAACCCGAAAGTCAAGCAGAAAGTAGCAATAGAATGGAAAAATTAGAACTCCGAGACTATTCAAGAAAAATCAAAAATGTAGATGAACATTCAAATTTTTTAAAATTAGAGCTGAATGGAAAAACAGTGGTAATAAAAAAATCGTCATATATTTGGTTGCTTGATGAAAATGAAGGAAAAATAAGCAATGATAGGTTGAAACGGTTTATTATCAATAATAAAACCAAGAATAAAACAAATACAAAAAAAGAAATCAAGAAAAAAAATCCAGGTACAAAAAAAGTTTACAGAAAGAAGAAAAGAGTAAGCGCCGAATCAGACTCTTCGTCTAATGGATCGTTTTCGGAAGTTACACTCCATGACAGTACATCAGATGATTCTGAAACGTTTTCAGACTTAGAGACTGAGTTAGAGACCAACCAGGAGCTGAGTGAGCAAGATCACGAAATTATTAATATAATAATAGATACTTATTACGCGGTATTTTACGATAGCAAGTATTATATTGGCCGAGTTATAGAGATAAATGATTCAGATGTAAAAATGAAGTTTCTTAAAAAGGAGCTAAACGTATTTTCTTGGCCCAGAATAGAAGATATTGCATTTGTGGAAAAAGAGTTTATTTTTTACGGACCTATAAATCTCTCTGGCTCAGGACCCTTTCAATTAAAAACATATGATCTTTTAAATATAGAAAAGAAATACAAAGAATTTAAAAGTAAATAGATATCTTCACACTGCTTTTATAAAATATCTAAATTTGTCAAAATACGTTCATTTTCAATTTTTCATTATGTTAATGACATTTAAGTATACTATAATAATTCAGGACTTGTTCGTTGATTTTATTTATACATGTCTTATGCATAGATTATTATTATTTTTGTTTACATCTAAGAGATTCTTTGGGGACATTCGCTATTCTATTATTAGTTTAATGTATAATAAAATAAATGTAAGGACTCTTTGAGCAATTAGTGGAACGTAAACACTGGAATGTTAGCAAACATTTTAAAGGAAGAATATTACACTGACTGGCAAAAAATGTGGTATACGTCAGCAGGGGTTATAATAAAAAAATAGTGTAAATGTGTTATATAATCTTATTTAATAAGTGTAAAATGTTCTTATTTTGTTTGATACCACTTATTTCTTTTGTAGGTGTAATAATTATTTAGTTATTATTAAGTACCTATACTTTGTTACTTTTTTTGAATCTTGAATTCAAGGATATGGAATTCCGCTGGAGTGTTTTAGTTATTGAATTCTGATCATTATAATAACATAATCATTTTTATTTTAAAATGTTTTGTAATCGTTTGCGTTCATAATATATATATATATATATATATATACAGGGTGTCTCTAAAAGGTCTGTACAAAATGCTATCACAAATTCCTCGGGCCAAACTACAACGATCTAACGCAATTTACCTTAGACCAAAAGTTGATGGTTTGCGAGATACAGGGTATCAAAGTTTCAATTTCATTTTAGTTATTTTCAAATAATTTTTTTAATAATAGAAATATTTGCAACTAAATTTTCCTGCGGTATTTTATATGCTGGATATAAGTTTTGGATTTTTGTATAAGGCATTACATGGTATTATTAAGTAGGAATTGCTGGGAATTTAAGGGCATTACTAGGAATTACAAGGCATTACTGGGTATTAGTGGGCATTAGAGGGCATTAGTAGGAATTAACACAGGAATTAGGGGCATTACGAAAAAAAATCGAGAGTAATGCCTAAATTGTGCATTGGTGTACACAATTTAGGTCTGCGGATTGCCCCTCGGCAAAATACAGGTCTATAGCCGTTCTGAAGAAGAGAAAGGTTATGAAAATCAAGGAGGCTATAAAGGCGTCCTACAATTGTAGAGATGAATTACGGTACTACCCTAATATATTCCAGCTTTTTCTCAGCTAGTGATAAGGATATTTTCTTCTAACTAATATAACCATCCGAACATTTTATCTTTGCTTTCAAGCATATAATTGATTTTAAGAAGATGTGTTTCCGCAATTGTCAAGATCCTTACAGAGCATTTTTAAAACGGTGGAGATGAATACAGAAGAGGAAAAAAGAAATGGTATCTCTTGCGCGGTGAAATATAAGGTCATGTGTGTTCGGCCGGAACAAGATACGACATAGGCACTCAATCAAGTTGATGAATATCCCACTGCATTCCGCTAGAGATTTTTCATATAAATGCCTATCTTTTTCTTCAATTTTCTTATAACTGCTCGTGGAAATCTAAGAGCCGTGGAAGACAACGACGTAAATAAAATGCTGGATCACTTTACTCATACTTTGTACGATGTCACGTCGACAATATAAATATGTAGCACTTTCACTTCCTCCGGCACTGGGTGAGGAAGTATTGTAATCGCGAAAATGTTCGAAAAAAAGATATTATGTTATTTGGAGGTTATATTACATGTACAAACCATGATACGCATTTCCGTCGGTATGGCTGTCTGCGATCGCCTATAACTTGGAAGGTACTGCCTAGATTTGGATGAAATTTTCACACAAAGCTACGACTTTGCTAAGGACAAAAACATTTTATAGATGTTGAGAATCGGTCTAGTAGCGGCGTAGCTAGGGGCAAAAACACGGAAAAAATAAATATTGCTCAAGTTTCGTTTTTTTGCGCCTCAGTTGCATTTTCAGAAAATTTTATGCAGGGTTTAATTTGAGGTTCAGGTTGTGGGGATTGAGGGATAGTAGATGGCAATTTTTTAGTGCTAGCAAATTTGTACGTTTCCAACTCAGATAATTCTACGCACATATTTCATGAATCAAAGATTTCCCCGTCACTGAATTATAAAGACATATCTTCGATGTTCGCTCGACGGACAACTCCACATCGTACCTGTTTTCATGTATAATATTTGTATAACCACAACTTAGATAACAATTAGCTATGGAACTGTCCTACCAGTGCCAAAAACGCCATTTCAGCGGAGGAAATCGCTTGCAAATTCCCCTAGTACTATGATGAAAGAGGTTTTAGTGTTCAGTTGCAGCTGGTGTTGCCACGTATCATGCCAGCGGCCGCTGATATTCTTTGCAATAGTAAAATGATAATATTTCGAGATGATCTAGTGTAGTTAGTGTGAATCAATTATATAAACTATTATGTTTGTGCAAAAAGTAGCGACGTATGACTATTTATTTATGGAAAAGCTTCAAAATAAATTTGTAATGGTGAACTTACAATGAAAGGCAAAATATCTACTTTTACTATGTATTCTACGCTGCTGCGATATAATCAATCCATTGCATTTTCAATGTAAGCAGTGCTACACAAATACATTCTCTCTATCTCAAGAATTTTGGTTTCTTTGTCACAGAAAACACAAGAGCACATGCTCTAATATTTTTTTCAATTCTTCACTATTTTTGAACAAATTAATTAAAAAATGTATGTGTTGTCATGTAATTATGAATCTTCTGGAGGGCGGCATATTTTCCAGGTAAGGAGCGTATAGTTGCCTACACTTTTTATAACCAACTTTTCTAATATTTAAAATATCGGAGCTACATACCAATTACACATCAAAAACTCTCCGTGTATGTAGAAGCATTGTGACTGAGTATTTGTCAGAAGTGACAGGTTTGATTGCAGAGTTTGAACAGTGCTTACATTGAAAATGGAATGAATGCAGAACATCACCGAAGCAAGGAATCCATGGCAAAAGTAAATGTTTTTCTGTTTATCGTAAATACTTACACCTATACGAATTTATTTTAAAACGTTTTCATAAATAAATAGTCATCAATACTTCGTCGCTTGTTTTTGGAAAACATATTCCTTTTTATTATCGGTTCACCCAAACTACACCAGATCATATCGGCAACTTACGATTGCAAATATTACCTGCAGCCGCTGGCAGGGTATCTGGCAACACCGGCTACTGCTAAAACCTCTTTCATCGTTGTACTGGGGTAATTTACATTCTAATTTCTCCGCCGAAATGGCGGTTCTTATTTACAGTGTCAGGAGAATCTTATAGCTGATTGTTCTCTATGCTGTGATATAACCATGCGCTGGATTGCGACGTAGCCGGGTGGTCGTGCGGTAGGCTAGATTGCATTGTTGGACTATGGACTGATTGCATTATCTATTTAATTCATTTGTCACACATGTTCGTAGCTAACGTTTTTCTAAGAGGGACTAACTTGTGCCGAATATAATCCCTTATGATTTTATGACAGCGTTGCGTAAGAAGTGCGGTGTCCACCTACTTGTCACCATTTTCAATTTATTGCTGCCTTCTGTTGAAATAATAGACCATTGGCTTTTCAAGAGTTTGGTTTTATCAAATGAACTTAAAATTCTCGTTTTGTGATCCATACAATTTTGGAATTTTCTCTGTGCAAAATGTCAACTAAATGGACACGGGTTTTACGTTCTAATTGTAACTGATTGAGCAAGCGGGTCATACGTTTTTTTTAGAAGAAGCAATGCGAGCGCTGGCTTAACGATTGGTTTATGCATATGGTGAAGAGCATTCATTATAATGGAAGTTATGGTAAAACAATAAACAGTTTATTCAAGCAATATTTGCCGTAGCCTACTCATTTCCTTTACACCGTGCCGCGCAGGCAGAAGCCTTCTCATGTAGATTATTTCACAATGTCTTTCACAAGCGACAAGGGAGCGGTCGTATCGACCAGTTCTGGATGTACGAAGTTCGACAGGGTGAGGATGGGAGGCAGAACTCAGGTCGGTCTGGCGCGGCGGTATCATGGAGGAGAGCTCTGAGGTGTAAAGCCTGTCAGCATAGCGGTAGAAGAAAGCAATATCGCTGACGGCTTGCCCGTGCGACAAGGTCCCGAGACTGTCCGTTAGATAAGAGTCATGGATCAGCCGGACAGTTTTCCTCTGAGCAGCATCGAGCATGGACAATGTAACTAGTTGGGGCAGCAGCACCCCAAATATGCGAGCAGTACTCGGGGCTAGGTCTTATCTGAGCCTTACACAGAGTGAGCAGGTTATGTGGAAAAACATACTTTTTAGCCCTAAACAGATAACCTAGCTCTTTTCATGCCAGATCACGTCAATATAGTCAACGCCAAACAAAGTGGCGTGCACGTCATCAAGGTGGGTGTGTTAAAAAATTTACATTGTTGCCAAACTTTTTGTAAAATAATAAAATTTATTATTTACATATCTAGGTTTATAAGCAATATTAACCTCAAATGAGAACAAAAATAATAGTATAATAAAATTATAGATCTGTACTTGCATAATCATTAAGTATGACAATTATTGATCAGATGACACTATGAAACTACCATATTTAATTGATAGCTTAAAGGTACTGAATAAAAATCCAAATGGGGTCCTCCAAATTTTATGCATGGTATTTATTTTACAGAATTCATACAGAAAATGCATTCTAAAATTAGGTAAGCTACTGGTGTAAGCTTTTTCTGTACAATAAAGTTAGTCGGAGTTTCTTTCTTCAGCGCTGTCTGAATCTGAATCTTCATCACTCTCAAAGTTGATTATTAAAGGTTCGATGTCTGGTCGATCAAAAATTCGTTCTTTTTCATACCATTTAAAAATTTCTTGCTCAGTATGTCGAACACCATTTTTCCACATGTCTGGGGTAACCGTTTGTAGAGCCTCGTTCCACATATCCAAACAGTCTTTTTCACTGTTACCATCTCTACCAATATGTCTGTTATAGTAACCTTTTGCTATGCCCCAAA